TTCAAAAGATGGGTTGACACAGTGCTTAGGGATACAGTTTAGTGATGGGTTACGTCACTGTTGGGTTGATGGTTGGACTCAATGATCTGAAAGGTCCCTTCCAACCTGGGAGTTGAGTGTGTGATTCTATAACCCGTGGTGTGCAGGGGGCACGAGGTCCCTTCATCCCTCGGGTGGAATTTGGGTTGTGTGTAGCCCTCCATAACCTGCGTCACTGGTGCCCTGGGGGTCGCTGGGGCTGGGCAGCGCTGCTTCGAAAGCGGTTCATTTATTATGTGGATGAGCTCATCCCTGTTTACGTTTCCTCAGGGAAGCATCCCAGATGTAAAACTCCCTCTCTGGGAGTGTAAACCAGTTCCGAGCTGCCAGCAACTGGGAAGGAACACCTTTGTGACTGGCTTATTCCACAACTCTCCGCTAAGGGCTTCCTGCCCACCCATGGGAGGCCGGGTGGGAGTGAGTGGCTGGTGGCCACGCTGTGGGGCTGCAGCAGTGTCCCGGCTCATACCATCCCACCTTCACTCACCCCCCAGCTCCCCACCGTCCTGTGGGAGCCCCAGAGCTGAAGGACACTCTGGGGCAAAAAATGGGGAGGTCCTGCTGCTGCCCTGTGAATTCCTCAGCGCTGCTGGCTGCGGGGAACTGGGTCCTCCATGTTGGATTAAGGAGCTGTGGGCGACTTCAGGGTGATCAATCTTTGTAGGTGACGAGGTTCCAGCTCAGGGGCAGCCTGATCTTGCTGTTGCTCCCACTTGTGTTTGGGGATGCAGAGAAGCTGCAGGGTCTCTCCTCTCCTCATCCTGGCGTTTCGCTTGGACTGGGGAGACATCTTCTAGGATCTCCTGTGCTGCAGGGCAGCAGACTGGCCACAGCATGTTGCTGTGTCTTGAGGATTGTGTCTCTCATGTCTGGCTGAATGCCTCATCCATCTTTTGTGGTGTGATCCACTGACACCCAGAAGGGACAGCCCGGCAGGACCAGCCGTGTGCTGTTGCAGGACCTCCTTCCCACCACCTGGTCCAGGCCTCTGTTCCTTCTCAAATACACAAACTGGTGGTTTAAAAGTTCCTTTGTTTTGTGGTCGACAGTAAAATAAGGGTTAATAAAAGCCAACGTTGGGCTAATTTTGGCAACGCCAGAGCCTGCTGTTTAAATAATTGCTGAAGATTGCGGAGCATCCTGCGTGGCACGCGTTAGGAGGAATCCAGCTGATGGCAGGCACATGCACGGTTGCTTCATGTTAAAACCAGAATTGCTGGAGCCTCGGGCAGTCTCAGACTCCAACCACAGCCTGGTTTTCTGCGTTTTGTGGGAAGTTTCACCAAGTTTGTGACCTTGGGTGTGTGGGTTGGTGTGATCACATGCAGGTCGGGCTTGCATCTTTGTCTGTGCACACACATGGCTGGAGAAGGGGCGAGCATTCAAGGAAAAACTGATGGATTTCTTAAGCCAAAGAAATCCCTGTGGGATGTAGGGGGGCGTTTGGCCAAGGAGTGGTAGCAGCAGATGTCAGAGGAGCCATGTGTCGCTCGCCTTCGTTAACGTTACCAATGCAGGGAGTAATAATAGAGTGAATAATAGAGGGAAATGGCGTAAGAGAAGCGAAAGCTTTTGGCTGCAAACAGTTCAGATCTGCTCTTGGGTCTGTACGTACCATGACAGGGCCTCCTTCTGGTCGTGGGCGGGTGTTAGGAGCTCATGTTGGTGGCAGCTGGAACCAGTATTACCAAGCCTTTCCCATGTCCTCTAGCAAGAACATGGGGAGGGTGAGAGCAGATGATACGACCCTCGCAATAGCTTCACCAAGTTGCACAGGGGGGCAGTGGTCTGGAGTGTGAAATAAGACATTTCTGTTGAGCTGAAATTCAGCTGGTTCAAATCGGGAAAGCAAACCCCGTGCCCAGAAAGCGATCTTTTTCTGTCAGCACTGCCAGGAGATCCCCAAAACGTGGTGTTGGGCTTTCCGGAGACTTGTGGGGCTGTTTGTATTTTGATGTCACACCCCACTGAAAGCTCAAGCACAAAACCTTCCAGTACTGGCATGTTCTTGGGTTTTCTTCTGGACAATCAGTGAATACTATACCCCCATGTACATTAGGTGTCCCTGTTTCTGCCCTGAGTACCTCCATTCTGCCTGTCTGAGAGGAGAGAAGCGAGGAAATCTCTTTTCTGCTAAAAAAGAAGATGGTGGCTTTGGGGAAGAGACAGGCAGAGGGACCCTGCCATGTTCTGGATGCTCCTGAGAACAAAGGAGGAGGCCCTGGGATGTGAAGTGATGGTGGGGAATCCAGAAGTCCTCGTTTCCATCACTAGGCAAAGAAATTTCAGCCCATGAGAGTCTGTGTCACTATTACTGGCAGAGGTATTCCATCAGGTTGGATGTACAATTGCCGTCATCCTTTCCACAGCAGAGATGGACCCACTGGCTTAGTGTTCCTTGGGTGCCCATGCTCGTTGTCCTGTACCTCTGGCAGTTTGCACACCCATAACTCACAACCCCGTGCTTTCCAGTCTGGCTGTGTTGCTGGCTCTCTCTCTGAAGGTCATTCTGGCTTCGTGGTGGTTGTCGTTCTGGTGCAAAGGAGGGAGAAAAGTTTGTGCTTCACGCCTGCCTTCTCACCTCGCCCTCAGGTACGTGATCATCTCCCGGGAGGAGAGGGAGCAGAACCTGATGGCCTTCCAGCACAGCGAGAGGATTTACTTCCGTGCCTGCCGTGACATCCGTCCTGGGGAGAAGCTGAGGGTCTGGTACAGCGAGGACTACATGAAGCGCTTGCACAGCATGTCCCAGGAGACCATCAACAGAAACCTCACAAGCGGTGAGTCCCCTCCCTTCCCAGCCTCCCCCCTGGTCCCCTGGGGCTGCCCCACTTGTTGGACCACGTGTGGTGGGTGAAGTAGGTTTAGGAAGATGGCTGCGTTTCTGGAAGGGGAGCACCTCTGGGTGCCGTTTGGATGGATGGGTCACGCCAGAGGTGGAGGTCACACCAGATAGACTCCTGCTGTGTCGTGTCATGTCGTGTGTCGTGGTGTGGCATGTGGTGTGTGTGCTGCAAGGGCCTCACGCAAAGCCCAGGGGTCACAGAGCTCCTGTGTCACAACTTTCTGGCCCGAAGATTGCCCAGCTGGTGGTCCCACAGATGGACATGAGGTTTTTCTTCTGAACGTGCTGCTTTCTCTGGCTCCTGTGAGCAGCTTGTTTGAGGGTGCTCCGGCTGGTTTGGTGTACAGATGAAAGAGATTTCTTTGGTGTGTTTGTATGTCCATTTTCCTCGCTTAATTTATCTCCTCTTTCTTCAGAAAGATAATTTGGGAGCAGCGCGACATCAGCTAGAGACTCCTTAGTCTCACAACCTTAGAGCGCGTGTACAACGTACAGGAGGCTTTGTACTTGTCAGACTCATTCTCCCCTGGATAAAAATTGTTATCTTATCTTAAAGAGTAGCCCTGCTGGAGCAAAGCCAGCGGTCCTTTAGGTCAGGGTGATGTCAGTGATGCGGGAGGCTTTAGAGGAAAGCAAAAATCCTTAATGCATCTGTTCCTCTGTACCTGAATTTAATGAAGGGCGTTTCTTTCCAGACCTTTCCACGGAATGGCAGGGCCTCAGAGAGGCAGCCACACTATGTATAACTTTCTAATTAAGATTCCCATCCGTATTATTATTATTATTATTATTACACAGCTGCTGTTGCTGCCTTGACTTGGTAAAAGGTGTCTCCTCTTTACCCATGGGGTGGACAAGATGTCCTGAAAAAGCTGGTTATCCTCCATCACCTTGGAGTTACGATGCACTTGCAGTGTTAACGTCTTGATGGCTGTACGTGGACAATTCCCACTTCTGAATTGGCATCGGTGTGAGCGTGCTTTTTTTATGTTAATAAAGGTGGCTGAGTAATTAAGTACAGGCTGCAGTGATTTCGCTGCACACCACGCACATGTCAGTTGTCCAGATGGCTTAGTACTTTCTGAAAGTACTGCAAAGAGAAAGACTATGCCCTTGGAGAAGCTGCTCTGGAGGGCCACCAAGGCTAGGAGTGATTGCCCTGCCATACAGACACGCGGTGTCATGGTTCGTGTGAGCTGAAATGGTCACTCACCCCCTGCTTTGTGCTATGAGTGTGGTGAAGACCTGCCTCTGGGCTTCTCAGGACCTTCCATAGCGTACCACACGCTCACGTAGAAACCCCTGCGGCTGCAGAGGCCATCAGAGAAACCTTCCCTCGGTGACCTCGTCCTGTGGCAAGCTGGGCTCAGCCTGCGTTGGCGAAAGGAGCGCGGAGAGGTTGTTAAAATATGGAGCATCATGGGCCGTTGCCAGAGAGACACATCCAGCCTCAGCTGGGAGGGCCCCGGGAGGTGGCCAGGGAGCGGCACCACCATCTCTTGAGTCACTTCCCATTTAGAAGGTTTCAGATCCCCTGGGGATGGGCCTGTCGGGCCAAAGTGGCGTGCTTTATTGACTCGCAGAAAGATAACGTGGTTTCCTGGGTTTTGGTTCTCTCAGGGGGTTTCTGACCCGCCTCATCAGTGGAGTTGAGACCAATAATGGCAGGAATCGTCTTGTGAATTTCGAGCTTTTCCATAGGGCTGAACCACTCCGTGGGTTGGGGGAAAAAATCACTGAAAATGGAAAATCCATTCTCTAAATCCCTACCTCTGCCGTTCTAGTCGGTAACAGGGGAAATGCTGAGACAGAGACTCAGAGCTTTGCCCATAGAAATTCTCCTCAATGCGTGGAAAAGGAGATCTGTTGTTATGGAATTCCCTCGAGGAGTGGCTGGGTTTGCCAGCCCGCATCAAATCCCGGTGCAAAATCCCTGCCATTGGGGCCAGCCCTTTTTACGGTGCCTTACTCTAACTGTTTTCGAGTCTTGCATCTTTTCTGCATTCTTAGCATTGCTCTCCTTAGAGAGGGAATGGTAGCTTTTGCTCCGTAACTCTTACGAAAGCATGAATACACTTTAAAAGCAAACAAAAACCAAAAAATCAGCATAACGCAGCGTCTTGTTGGGGAAGCCATCAATGCTTGAAGTTATTTCCAAGATAGAAGAATGATGGAAATTGAGCCAAACCTATCGTCTTTTGAATTTCCAGGTAAGGAAATCTGGCTATTCCCTTTATTTTTAAACAATTAATAGTTTGTACCAGGTTGCTTTTATTATTGTTTTTGTTGTTATTTTTTTAAAAAATCACCGAACGGCCACGCTCTTAAGACTCCACCGGGACGAGCTAGATGTCCCCATCCTTGGAGGGCGTTCACCCGCTGTAGCTCCTCAGTTGACGATGAGTTCCTTGGGCTTTTAAGAGGGCGAGTTATTGTCACTTAGAGCAGGCTCCAAACTGAACGAGAGCGAAGCGGTGTGCCGTCTTGTGCAGGGATGCTGGGGTTGTCACCAAACGGTCCGAATCTCTCGCTGCACTTGCTGTACGACTCGATACCTTTTACCAAGTCAAAACAGGCACAGGTCTTCCAGCCAGCCAGCCGGGGAACGGCTCTCGGGCTCTAGGTGTTAGGTTCCACCGCGATCAGTCCTTCACCTCCTAGTCCATTGCACCTCGTAGACCTCTTCCAGCGCAGGGTGGTTATACCTTTAGGTTTAAACGAGCTGCCTGTAGCTTCTCTTCTCTTTAAAGTGCGTGGGTCCTACTCGGCTGCGGCGACCCAGGACTGTCTCTGGTTTTGGCAGACGTTGCCCATTAGCAGGGCTCCTCCTCTCGCGAGCCTTGGTTTCCAGCTGAGTTGTGTCAGTCCCCTGGTTTGTAACGCAACGTGCAGACCTGCAGGGATTCAACCTGCCTTTTTTGCTCTTTTTTTCTTTTTTTTTTGTTTGGTTTTTATTATGTGTTTTTTTTTTTTTCGTTTGAATTTTAGATTGAGGGAGGTTGCTGGGTTCCCGGTGATAATCCCCACCCCTCGTTTTCCTTTCCAGGAGAAAAAAAATTGCAGAGGGAAAAGTCAGAAAGGAACGTGGAAACTCAAGAGGACTTGAGGGGGCCGCTCCAACTCGCCACCTTAAAGCAAGGCAAGAGCCCCTACAAGCGCAGCTGTGACGAGGGGGAATCCCACCCCCAAACAAAGAAAAAAAAGATTGACCTCATCTTCAAAGACGTCCTGGAGGCTTCCTTGGAGTCCGCCAGATTTGAAGAGAACCAGTTAGTGACGAGTACACCCCTTTCCATCAGAAAAGCGCCCAAATACCAGGCTGAAGACATCTTTGAGAGTTGTGGCAGCGCCATGCAGCACGGCTCCCTGAACCTCAGCAGAAACCGGAGCGAGGGGGAATGGAAGATTCCCCACGGTTCCTCTTTCAGCTCAGCCAAAGAGATGGGCTTCCTGGAAGATGAAGAAGAAGAGCCCCTGTCACTCAAAGCGGACAGCCCGACTGAGCTGTCACTGGCCTCCGTGCAAGGCAATTCCCATGAAATCCCCACCACCTCCTTCTGCCCCAACTGCATCCGGCTGAAGAAGAAGATCCGGGAGCTGCAGGCCGAGCTGGACATGCTGAGATCTGGGAAGTTACCCGAGCCACCCGTCCTACCGCCCCAGGTACCCGAGCTCCAAGAGTTCTCAGACCCCACAGGTAAGCCTTGCCGAGTAACAGCCTTCTCCAAACCCTGCCTAAGGAGAGTAGTGAGGTGCCCGTGTGCTGTGTACCCACCTAAAGCGTTTTGCTCTGAGTATTCAGGTGGCCGCGTGGCTCCATGGAAGGCTCGTTGTCAGGTTTTGTGACCGGGTGGGCCAGGAGCTGACCACAGCTCTGGGCACAGTGGAGAACACTGTCTGGGAAAGACTCTGTATGACAACTCGCTCGATCTGTTGCCGTTGTAAATCGATAATGCACTGCCAATAAAAAAGACATTCCATTGCAGACAGTTTGTTGGCCGTATTTTTGATGCATTCTCTTCCAGCGGAAGTCCCTCCGCTGGAAAGAAAGTCTGAATGACTCTGTGGTGACACTGAAACGTGCGCTCTTTGTGTATGAAATGATGTCCCGCTGTGTCCCTTGTTGGAAAGCCCTCTCTGTTTTCCTCCGCTGCCTTAACACAAACACGCGTCCCTTTCTGAAGATGTTACATTTTCTCCAGGAACATGCTGTTGAGCCGCCAGGAGCCTTCACCAAAGGGAATATTTGGGTCACACCATGTATTGTGCAAGTGGCCAGGAGGTAGTGTCCTTTCTTGCTGTGCTTTGTGGCACGTTGGAGACAAAGTTCTTATGCAGAAACATTGATCTATTTTCCCTTCAAAGCCATGATTCAGATTCTACCCGTAGCGCGTTGTGGGCAGGAGAGGGCAGGTTGTGGCCAGCTCTTCAGGCAGTGCTCTACTGTCACCAGTAGGAAGCTTCTCTAACTCAGCAACTTTGTAAATGCCATATTTTTTTCCTTTTTTTTTTTTTTTTTAGACTTTCATATAGACAAGGTGGATGGAAGTGCTTACTGCAACTTTGGTTCTTTCTCCTAGAATTAAATTTCAGTTAAGAATCAGTCTTGTAAAAGCCATCCATTTTTTTTTCCTTTTTTTTTTTTTTTTTCCTTACAGCTTCAGAAAGCATCATCTCCGTGCCCACCATCATGGAGGATGATGACCAAGAGGTGGATTCTGCTGACGAGTCGGTCTCCAATGACATGATTGCTGCTACAGACGAGCCTTCCAAGATGTCTTCTGCGACGGGCCGGAGGATACGGCGGTTCAAGCAAGAGTGGCTTAAAAAGTTTTGGTTCCTGCGGTACTCCCCGACGTTGAATGAAATGTGGTGCCACGTCTGTAGGCAGTACACAGTGCAATCCTCTCGGACTTCGGCCTTCATCATCGGCTCCAAGCAGTTCAAGATCCACACGATAAAGCTTCACAGCCAGAGCAACCTCCACAAGAAGTGCCTGCAGCTTTACAAGCTCAGGATGCACCCGGAGAAGACGGAAGAGATGTGCCGGAATATGACCTTGCTCTTCAACACCGCCTACCACTTGGCCCTGGAGGGCAGGCCCTACTACGACTTTCGGCCTCTGGCAGAACTACTGAGAAAATGCGAACTCAAGGTGGTGGATCAGTACATGAATGAGGGAGACTGCCAGATCTTGATCCACCACATCGCCCGGGCTCTTCGAGAGGACCTGGTTGAACGCATCCGGCAGTCCCCCTTCCTCAGCATCATTCTGGACGGGCAGAGCGACGACTTGCTGGCGGACACGGTTGCGGTTTACGTGCAGTACACCAGCAGCGACGGGCCTCCGGCAACCGAATTCCTGTCTCTTCAGGAACTGGGCTTTTCTACGACAGACAGTTACCTCCAAGCCTTAGACAGGGCTTTTTCCAGCCTGGGAATACGACTGCAGGATGAGAAGCCGACTATTGGCTTGGGAGTTGACGGTGCTAACGTTACGGCCAGCCTGAGAGCCAACTTGTTCATGACAATCAGAAAGACCTTGCCCTGGCTTCTCTGCCTGCCCTTTATGGTGCACAGGCCCCACTTGGAAATTTTGGATGCCATCAGCGGGAAGGAGCTGCCCTGCCTGGAGGAGCTAGAAAACAATTTGAAGCAGCTGCTCAGTTTCTATCGTTACTCCCCCCGACTCATGTGCGAGTTGAGGGTCACCGCTGCCACCCTGTGCGAGGAGACCGAGTTCTTGGGGGACATTCGGGCGGTGAAGTGGATCATTGGGGAGCAGAATGTGCTCAACGCTCTAATCAAGGACTACCTGGAGGTTGTGGCCCACCTCAAAGACGTCAGCGGCCAGACCCAAAGGGCGGACGCTTCTGCCATCGCTTTGGCCCTCCTGCAGTTCCTGATGGACTACCAGTCGATTAAACTCATTTACTTCCTGCTGGATGTGATCGCTGTGCTGTCACGCCTCGCCTACGTCTTCCAAGGGGAGTACCTTCTCGTGTCGCAGGTGGACGACAAAATAGAGGAGGCCATCCAGGAGATCAGCCGGCTAGCGGACTCCCCCGGGGAGTACTTGCAGGAATTTGAGGAAAACTTCCGTGAAAGCTTTAACGGCATCGCTGTGAAAAACCTACGGGTGGCTGAAGCCAAATTCCAGTCGATCAGAGAAAAGATCTGCCAGAAGACCCAGGTGATCCTAGCCCAAAGGTTTGATTCCCGTAGCCGGACATTTGTGAAGGCCTGTCAGGTGTTTGACCTCGCCGCTTGGCCCAGAAGCACCGACGAGCTCATGAGCTACGGGAAGGAGGATATGGTACAGATATTTGAACACCTGGAGACGGTCCCCTCGTTTTCCAGGGAGGTTTACAGAGAAGGGATGGACACCCGCGGGAGTCTGCTGATGGAGTGGCGAGAACTCAAGGTGGATTACTATACCAAAAACGGTTTCAAAGACTTGCTCAGTCACATTTGTAAATACAAACAGAGATTCCCCCTCCTCAATAAAATAGTTCAGATCCTCAAAGTCCTTCCCACCTCCTCGGCCTGCTGCGAGAAGGGGCGCAGCGCCCTGCAGAGAGTGCGCAAGAACCACCGCTCGCGGCTCACCCTGGAGCAGCTCAGCGACCTCTTGACCATCGCCGTTAACGGGCCGCCCATCGCCAACTTCGACTGCAAAAGGGCTCTCGACAGCTGGTTCGAGGAGAAGTCGGGCAATAGTTACGCCCTGTCAGCCGAAATGCTGAGCAGGATGTCCTCCCTCGACCAGAAGCCCATGCTGCAGAGCATGGACCACGGCTCCGAGTTCTACCCCGATATTTAGGAAGGAATAATGCCTCAGATCAGAAAGCTGTTGAATAATTTTATTTTTTTTTTTTTTAATCTATACTCTAAACTTTGATATATTATATAAAATATATATATATATATTATATATATTAAGGAAAAAAACCCACACTGAAAATTTAAAAAGTTAAGACGATGTGCGTCTGATAGAAGCTAAGCAGAATTTTAAAGATTGGGACAATGTTTAGACATTTACTGGTGTCTCCAACCATGGCAGCTGCAGTGTAGGTGGCAACATTTCATTCTCTAGAAGCATGTGCTGGGGCCATACTCTACATGTTCAAACCTATATGATCTATAAGCTACACGACGGGTTCTTTGTCAGCCTCATCCTCCCGGCGATTTTCCTTTGTGTGTGTGTTGTCGGTTTGTCGGGGGTTTGGTTTTTTTTTTGTGTTGTTTTGTTTTGGGGTTGGCTGGTTTTGGTTGTTTGTTTTGTTTTTTGTTGTTTTTTTTTTTTTTCCCCTCAGTTTTAATCTCTGCCTCTCTTTCCGTTGTTCAGTCCAGTTATTGAGCCATTTGAGCCTTTTTGTTGACGACCATCAGATTTCTGATGCCCGACGGAGCATCCCGTGCGTTTGTGTTGCCCCCAGCTCCCCCTCTCCAACCTGGTCCTCTTCTCTCCAGTGGGAGCTTTCTTCACTCCCGGAGATGACTGGCAGGAGGGAAAGGCTGGGGGTGCAATTTTGGGTTTGTTTTATTGTTTTTTTTTCTTTGGATTTAGAAACAAAACGCCTCCACTAAACTGTGATGCCCCTTCCTCAGTTCTCCCCACTTTTGGGCTGTAGAGTAAGACTTGGCTTTCAGCTCCCTTTCTGATAACCGTAGTACCAGTCTATCATGCATATATTATAACATGATGTCATGTGCAGACTATAAAATAGCAAAATAGAGAAGGCAGGGGGAAATTTTTTGCATTTATATTTTTATATTGTAGGAGATAAAAATATATATATATACAACTATTCATTCAAAACCAGGGCTGCTGTGGAAGCTAGAACAGCCAATGAGTCAAGAGCCATCTCTGGGCGGAGATTCAAAGGCTTAAAAAATTATATTCTAATTTACATTATTTATACTATGTCTTTATAATCCTAGATTGTTGTGGGTTTTTTTTTTGTTTTGTTTTGTTTTGTTTTGTTTGGAATGACTGAGAGAAAAACCTGCCGCGGTTCGGTGGCAGGAGCTATCAATGCAAGATTATCTTGGATTATATTCATGTGATGATGTCCTACAAAGGTTCACGTATTCTCTTGTGACCAAGGTAACATGTTCCACAGCACAGCAGACTGATGACAGCAGGAAGAAGGGATGCTCCTCTTCTTCCTGCGACATAATTCTTCCTTTCTTGAAGGGATGCGGAGTCCAGCTGAAATGTGAATGGGGGACTTGCACCTTCCATCACAAAGAGATTGTTCCGTGGGCTTGGGGTTCTTCTCCGTTTTATTCTTGTAAAGGAAATGAGCTCCAGGCACTCACACGATATCACTTCAGGTTAGAAAAGCAAAAAAGGAAAAAAAAAAAAAAAAAAAAAAAAAAAAAAAAAAAAAAAAAAAAAAAAAAAAAAAAGGTGCAAAAACTCCACAGATGCTAGTGCCTTGCCCCGCTGATGCGGCATGGACAGCACCAACCTGACCAGACCATCGTGGGAGTGAGAACCTGTTGTCCAGAAGGTGTCCGAGCCCAGCCAACAGGTCCTCACTTCCCGGAGGGACGAGCTTTGTGCCAAGCTGTGTTGTTTGGAAACATGATGGTGGTATCAGCAACACTGAACCTTTCCTTTCTCCTGTTACACCCCTGCCCTTGGTCTTGGTGCTAAGATATCTCTAGAACCATTGCTGCTAGTTGATAGCTTTTCATTTATATAAATATATATAATTATATAATATTATTTTATTTTTTAAACTTTTTTTTTTTTTTTTTTTCGTTTGTTTTCAACGGAGATGTAGCATGTTTGGAACCGATCTCTCTCGGAGTCACTTTCACTGCCAGGGTTCACGCACTGTCTTCCCCTGGAAAAACACGCACTTCTACCTAGGTCTGGCTCACCCCCCTTGCCAGCCAGCTAGCCCCCTTGGCCCTCAGCAGAGCCACGTGGCCAGCACGGGGGACAGAGGCCAGCAGCCCACGCCACGACCTACTGGCTCGGCTTTTGGACCCCACAGGAGCAGCTAGACTGGCCTTGGGGAAAGTTTGGGGAGAGTTTCCCCTCTGTCCCTATGGGACTGAGCCCACCCGAAGGGCTAGTGGTGGCCAAGTCCTTGTGTCCGGGCTAGTGGTGGCCAAGTCCTCGTGTCCTGGCTCTGCCCCTCAACTTTTTTGGCTCCAGGGGAGCAGAGCGGACCCCGCAAAGGCGGCGGCGAGGGCTGGGCAGGCGGCGTACCCTCCGTAGCACTTATTCCCTGTCCCCTCTGCCTTACCTCAGATGGCCTCTGCAGCCCGTGGGCCGGCTCGGGCAGGATGGGGCCACCTGCACCTGGGCCACCTGGGGGTTGTGGGTGCTGGGCGCTTTTCATGGAACCGTGGGGAGCAGGTCAGGGCATCGCGCCGTCGCAGCGCGGGGGGCATCGATGTGCAACACCTAGCAAGCAAAAAAAAAATTAAGAAAAATGGCTACGTTGGCCATTTTGTCCCATCTTTCCCAATAAATAACGTGCTGGAATTGACCCGTTCGTCTCGAGGAGTGGTGGAGGTTAAACTGGAACCCCTCTGCCAGCCGGGCGGGCTGGGGCGGCTGGTTGCCCGGTGGTGAAATAGGGATGTCTCCCCGCGGGGTGCTTGTAGCTCTGCAGTTAAAATTGGAGGAGATGTAAACAGAAAAGGAAAACAAGAGAAAAAAGATAGAAAGAGCTGCTGCTCCGTGAGTCGCTGCCCTGGAGATGGGCAAGGTGAAGGGAGGTGTTGGAGCCAAGAAGCGAGTTGGTTGGCGCCGGGTCGGGGGCAGAGTCTTCCTTGTTGAGCCTTCAGGCGGCACCAGAATGAAAAGAAAGAAAGATCCGTGATGCTGCAGCTGCGGGAGAGGCTGCAGAGACAGTTTCCCTTCTCCCCTGGTTTTTTTTCCCCTCAGTTTTCTCTTTCCTTTGCCTGACTCCACAGCTCCGTGTGGGACAGCGGGGAAGCGCTTGCCTTTGTGTGTGCAGCAGCGAAAGCTCCTCGGCACGAGGCCCGTCCAAGTGCCTGGCCCGCCTGGAGGGAAGGGACACTTGGGGACAGTCTCCAGACCCCTGTGCGGGCAGGAGCCACCCCCCAGGGCCTGTGCTGAGCCCCCCGAGAGGCCTGTTTACAGCTCCCACCCCGAGCCTCTTTCCTTTTGCCGCTGGGGAGAAAACGGTGCCTTGCCCTTGGTGGCAAAGTGAGAGCTGCCGAAATCATTTGTCCTTCCTTTTCCTTCGGTTTGTTTGCGGATCCCGGCTTTTGTCAGTGGCATCTTTCACCGGCTGCTCTTATTCCTGGCTGGCAGAGGGAAATGTGTGGCGAGGGGTGGTTTGTTTTTTCTCTCTGGGCAGTCGCCGGCCGAGGGAAACGTCTCGGTTCTTCTGCAGGTGACCTTGTGCGCGGCCGTCAGGGGCTGTGGGCAGGAGGTGTGATTCCCTGCCACGGGATGGGGGGTACCCGCCGTGGGAGAAGTGGGGAGACCCCCTGCATTGGCGATGGGGGGTGCTTGGCAAGCTCTCCCTCTGGGTTTACCCGCCGCTCTCACATCTGTAGCCGTTGCTCCCGTGGATATTCTGTGGATGGAAACGTGGCTGCCGGCACGAGCAAGACAGGGAGGAGGGAGGAATACCAATGTGAAGTGCCCCCTGGCTTCCCAGTGCCCCCCGACTTCCCAGTGCTTCCAGCTTCCCAGTGCCCCCCAGCTTCCCAGTGCTCCCAGCTTCCCAGTGCCCCCCGACTTCCCAGTGCCCTCGCCAGCCCAGCCTTTCCTGGGAGCCACCTTTCTGTGCCCTGTTTGCAAACCCCAGGGTGGCGAGGCTGGGAGATGGGGGTAGCAGGCATGGGGAGGGCCCCATGGGGCACGGAGGGAGGCTCAGAGATGGGTTTAATGGATGCGTTCCCCGCTGTGCCGGGCGAGCCAGAGGAGGTTGTTCCGACCGTGTTGCTCGGAGCATCTTGAACTGCTTCGGCTGCAAGGGTTTAGCTTTTTCCCAAATGAGCTTTTTATTCTCTCCTGTTCCCGGTGTCTTAGCTGTGGCATCTGACTGTGAATAATACACACTCCTCCAGACCCTCGGGTTTGTATTTCCAGCCCGTGGGCTTTTTGGTTGCCAATTTCCACCCCCACCACCACCACTTTTCGCTCAGGCTCCTTGCCCCTCTCCCCCTGCTGTGAAGCAGAGACCCGTGAAGCACATGCAGCCGTGTCCTCCTGCAGGGCTCGCCCCTGGCCGAACTCAACAGGGATAATCCTCACAAGAGACCAAAGCTCTTCCCATACCAGCAAAAGCAGGCGGGAGCCGGGGAGGGGGTGTCACGACGGGACATGGTGGGCAAGGTCCCCGTGTGTCATCTGCTCTGGGTCTCGCCCCGACGGCGGCGATGTCCCCCGTGATGGTCGTGCTTTTGCTGATAGGACTCCTCAGAGGCGATTTGGGCTGGGTCCATCTTTTTTCGTCTCACAGCACAAACTCAACCGGGTGGCCCGTGGGCTCTTCGAGGTGCCCCCCTTCCTTTCTTCTCTCACGAGGATGGCTGGCTGTTGGGCCAGCGGGCAGGCCGGCTTGCGGCTGAGCAGCGACAGCCTCTGCTCCTGCAGGTTCCCCTCTCAGCCCTGTCGAAAGAGGTCTTAAAAAAGCCAAGAAATGGTACGTTGGTCCCCCCCCCAGCCGTTGTACTCGATGCAGTAATGCCTATGCAATTCCTGTCTCCCTTGGAGACACGTATGACGTGTGTGCATGTAAGCTAGTGTATGTATACAGTACATATGCATATGGTCTATATATTGTATATACGCACATCCCAGTACATATACACACAGTACAAAAGATTAAAAATCACATGCTTATATATCTATAAATAAAATCCTATATATTTATATATTTCTATGTTTTCGATAGATATAAAGATATAATATAGAGATAGATTCAACCACCCTTGTGTAAGGCTGGCCCTGTGTTCTGGCACAAGGCACGTAACACTGAAGACGTTGGACTTTAGGATAGTTCTAGCCATACACTGAGGCCTACATCGCCGTGTGTCACGCTCTGCGGAGAGGGACTTTGCTGTGGTCAGGGCGAGGGGTTTGTTTCCTTGCCGGCACGTGAACCAAGTGCTAAGTAAGGTTTGTGTAACAGAGGGATGTCTTGGATGGGGGGGAAAAAATGCTCGAGCGTCCTCCGTCTTCTCCCACCGGAGCCTCTGGCCGAGGTCCCGTGTGTTCTCCCCTGGGGCAGACACACGTCCCACCCTCGTATGCACTTTTCTCCCTCTGCCACGGACGCGGTCGGGTACCGGTGTTGGAAAAGCAACCTGGCTTTCTCCTCTCCCTTCCCCGGCGTCCCCGGGGCCGGCGAGAGCGTGGGTTTGCTGGCGGGCATGGGGCAGCCAGGGGGAAGGCAGCGAGAGAGCAAAGGCCTTAGGGAGAGGAGGGAAGGGCGGCTCTGGGGACGGCGCAGGGAGCCGGGGCTGCACGGGGGAGAAGGGACCGTGAGGTCGGGAGGGATGAAGATGGGGACGTGCAGGCCCCGTTGGGGAGGCATGTGCGGCTCCGGCGTGGCCACCCACCCGGGTGGCTTTTCTGGAGGAAAGGGAAGGATGTGATTGTGCGGAAGATGTTGGTGGCACGTGGCCTTTGGGCCCCGACACAATGGCGTGCTGGCCTTGCCGGGCTGCAGCACCCAAGGGTGCAGCCCCTTTGCCCTGCCCGTGTTAAGGGACACCGATTGTCACCTCCGTGCTGGGGCTGGGGGTGGGAAAGATGTGAGCAAGGGATCAGCCCTCCCGGAGCGTCTGCGGGATGGACGGCCGCCTCATCCCTCCATCCCTCCCTTCACACGGCCGCGGGGTGGGAAGGGGAAGCATGGAGGTTTGGCTTCGCAGCTCCCACTGCCCTCCTTGCCGTTGGCTTTCAGCGTTGGTTCAGGCCGGGAGGAGGGGTGGGTGGCCACGCTGGCGGCACAACGACACGTTACACTGGTATTGCACGAGCACAACGCCGTGCAAGCTCCCCTGGAGCCCTGGCACACACCTCAGCGCCCTCTCCCCGGCCTCTCTCCTCCACACAACTGGTAATCCACCTCACCACCCCGTGTTACCCCCCTCCCGGCTCCGCCATGGCCCCCCCTGGGCCACCCAGCGCCGGCGGGGACTTCCCGGGCACGTGTTCTTCACCAATCAACCTCAAGAGACGGTTTCCTCAACCCCCAAAGCCCCTTCCTTTGGATGCCACTGACATTCTCCTCGGCTCAGCCCGCGGGCTGGCCACCCGCCCCCCCACCCACCCACCCCTGGCAAAGGGGGCTCCCATGCACTGCACCTCACCTCCAATAAGCTCGGCGGGG